TTTTTTATTTATTTTTGGCTGTGCTGGGTCTTCGTTGCTTCGAGGGCTTTTCTGGAGGTGAGGTACACGGCTTCTCATTGTAGTGACTTCTCTTGTCGGGCACAGGCTCCATCGTCGTGAGTGTGGACTTAGTTGTTCTGCGGCGTGTGGGATCTGCCCAGATCAGGGGTGGAACTCATGTCTCTGCATTGGCGGGTGGATTCTTTACCACTGAGCCACCAGGGAAGCCCACGACCTCTTTATTATTTTTTTTAATTAGTTAATTTTAATTGGAGGATAATTACTTTACACCATTGTGGTGGTTTTTGCCATACGTCGACATGAATCAGCCATGGGTGCACATGTGTCCCCCCATTCTGAACCGCCCACGCACCTCTCTCCCCTCCGGCTCTGAGTGCCCTGCTTCATACAACGAGCTTGCACTGCCCAAGACCTCTTTAGAATAATGCCTTTCCTTTCTTAGTCTTGAATGGCATGAAAGAAGATTTTTTTTAAAATAATTAGACTTTTTGTTAACCTACTTAATGGTTTTTATTTAATTTGGATTACCAGTTATGATGATGATGAGTATCATTGTCATTTTCTATTTATTGTATACTTACCATGTGTCAGACCTGTGCTTGACACTTGACATTTATTATCTCATTTATTCCTTACCGCACATTGTGAAGTAGGGTGGGCTCCATTTTAGAGATAAACTCGCTGAGAGCATTTACAGGTCACACAGATCACAACAGAGCTCTGTTTTGAATCCATTTAATACTAGCCTGGTTCTGCCTCTCTGCTGTACAAACTCTGGAGTGAAGTACTTCTTTTAATATGTTTCTTAAGGGCAGTTTGTATTCTTATGCTTGCATTGTCTTAGGAAAAAAACAGTGTTCTAGTCGTTGAGTCGTTGATTGCCTTATGTTGTGGTTCTCTATGTGTCTTTCCTGCAGCGTATGTCGGCAGAAATGTAATACTGACAAGTGGGTGTATCATCGGGGCCTGTTGCAACCTGAACACGTTTGAAGTCATCCCTGAGAACACAGTAATCTATGGCGGAGACTGCCTTCGTCGAGTGCAGACTGAACGGCCACAGGTACTAGAACCTGTTTAGTGGGTACCGTCCTTTCTAGGGCTGCTAATTTTCCCCAAATAACACATAAATGTTTTAATGGGGCAGCGAGTCTGTTACTTAAAAAGCAAATGATTAAAATAAAGCATCAGAGTAACATTCCTAAAACTACAGTTTATTTGTTGACTCAGTAGAATTATTGAGTCCTTAAGTTAATATCAGAAATACGTCCAAAGATGACAGTGACACATTGACTTTGGGAAGAGAACATCCAGGGATGTTACTTTTTTCTTACATATTTTCACTGGTGCATTACAAACTATACTGATTTGCTCCTAAAATACCAACCTTCAAGGGTAAGAAATGAACCTACCAAATTACTGTACACCCAATTTGGGTCTGCCTATCAGTTTACTGACATAGTTGGCTTGAAAATAAATGCAGCTTGTGAATATACAAGTATATTTAGATATTTTCCTGGCTTATGAGGAATTGTCCCCTCCTAATAACCAAGAATAATGGCATGTATGCATTTGGAGTTTCATGTTAGAGTAGGAAATAAGTATTGATAGAGCATTTGGGGCTTCCTTTGGACAGAAGGCATTCTGATTGAAGTTTTAACCTTACTGCTTGGCACACGCAGTCTATTTTCTTGGTTACGCAGCCTCCTTCCCCTCCCCCAAAGAAAATGTTTGCAAGGCATTTAGCACTTTTGATTCTTAGCCATATTTTATCAGAAATTAAAATGCCAGTTCTTTCTGGCTTATTCTAATTCTGTAATCTTTGACTTTTATTATTATAAGCAAGTATTACTATTCTCTGGACCAAAAAAGAAATAAGAACAAATCTAGTATTTTTTCACTTATCTTTCTGCATAACAGCAAAATGATTGAAGAGGGAGAAATGAAGCTGGAGTTGGGTTAAGGGAGATTAGAATTAAGTGAGCAAGAATATCTGAAGTTTAATATGTAATGGTATGTATGCAACACTGTTTTCCATGTTTTACCAATTATAAGGATCACATAGAGGTCCTTATTACAAATGATCCCCAGACTTTTTCAACCAAAGTGATTAGGGCAAAGGGCCTAACAGTACACGAAGTGAATTTTACAGTGAGGCCAAGTGTGAGCAAAGCTGATATATGAAGAGTGAAGATCAGATGAGTGTAATAGCTGTGTGCTCTGTCACATAGAAAGCAATGTACTCATGTTGTCCACTATAATTGAAACTCTTTCACTTCTTAGAGGCCAAGATGAAATGTATAAAAAGCAAGGTTGAAAACTGATAAACATACATTTTTATATGCAAAAGTTTTTATATGCAAAAGTTTTATATTACCAAACTTAATGTATGTTCATTGTAAATTGAAAAAGCAGGAAAGCAAAATTAAGTCAGTGAACGGGATCCACCGCAGGGGGCACAGGTTCAATCCCTGGTCAGGGAACTAAGATTTGGCATGCCTCAGTCCAAGAAAAAGAGATCAGTGAAAATCACCTGTAATTCCATGACTTAGTGATAATCATTTCTACTTGATGCTCTTAACTTTGCTTTCTGCTGGCCAGTTCTTAATTCTCTTATCTTTTTAGCCCCAGACACTACAGCTGGATTTCCTGATGAAAATCTTGCCAAACTACCATCACCTAAAGAAGACCATGAAAGGAAGCTCAACTCCAGTTAAGAACTAAGAACAGTAGATGACATCAAGATGATATTTGTGTTTGACCAGTGTCTTTTTTTTTTTTTGGACTGGTGTCTTTTGAAAGAGCCACATGTTTGTGCATTCATAACAGTCCACAAAACACCTGTTGACTTTATCTTGTAAAATTGAATTAGAGAAGAAAGTAATGGATTTTCATTGTAACTGTCCTTTATAATTTATATGAAGTGTATTATTTTCTGATGTCCTTGTCCCATTCTGATAATTTACAGATTTTTTTTGTTCTGTGTTGCGTGTTATATAAAATGTTGGCCATGAATTTTAGTTATGTAAAAGACTACCCATGATAAGAAAGAACATATTGTTATGTATTTATATTCTAACAAATACTAAACTAAATAAAAATGTTGATGACAGGACTTTTACTTTAATCAGTTTTTCTACTTTCCCAAAATAGCTCTTTTAATTTTTATTGTATACTAGTTAAATGTTAAAGCTAATGTGTTTACCTTTTCCTTTTGTGTGTTTGTGGCTGTCTAAAATTTCAGGTGAAATTTCAACAGCTATTGAATTAATTTAGATTTCATTTTGTTCCCAAGAAAAATAGTTTTTTTTTTTTCTTTTTAGTAAAACAAAAAAGTAATCAGGGAAAGATGTATTCAGTAGAATATGAGGTCAAAAAGAATGGTAGTAGTGTCTAATGAAAATGACAAGTAAATGACCATTGAGTGGTATTCTTAGGTTTCTGAGGACCATGAAACTAGAAGAGATTTTGATATGTTTATAAATATATGAAAATTTTGGCATATTACTAATCAATAATTATCAACCTTGGCATGATTCTGTTTACCTGATTACATAATAGGCAAAATATTGAGAATTTTATTGTAATTCCAAGTTTTTTTTTAATAATTCAAGTGCGTACATTTAACAGAACATAGTAACTTTTGAATTAGTAGATGTTGATTAATACTAAGACATTAAATGCTAAAATATTTTCTCTTGAAACATTTTTTTAATTGAAATACAGTTGAGTATGTTGTGTTAGTTTTCCATGCACAGCAGAATGATTCATTTATACATATATGCATATTCTTTTTCATATTCTTATCCATTATAAGTTATCACAAGGTTAATTTTTAATTGTGAATAGTAAAAATCTATTTTTGAATTTCTGAAACTGACTGGTACAAATTAGCCTTTGTTCCAGATGTGAATGACTTTATTTTGATAAGAATATTCATGACTCAAGTTAGAAAATTCATGACTCAAGTTAGAAAAGTATACTGCTACATGTAGTGGTTTGAGAAGAGAAGAACATCACATAAATGTCCTGTTTTTGATAACTGCTATCTATTCATTTTTCAACCCCTGGTGATCACCTTAGGATGTTGTTGATTACAAAAATTTCTAGATAAAAGAGCAGAAATTACAAAACTACCCTTGCAGTGCTGTGCCAGTTCTGAATATTATCTCTGGCTAAGCTCTGATGTGCTCATAACTGCCCTGTGCTCCAAACTACGCAGGTAGTATGTGAAGACAGCAGCGGGATCCCTCCCGAGGAGTTGGTAATAAGGTATCCCCAGAGCATCAAACTATTAAATCATCATGTGAGAAGAGCCTCAACGTTTATCAGGTACACTGTGGCTTTTAACTGCTATTAATTCATTTGAGGAAAGAAAATGTTAACAGAAAATGTCGGTTTACCAGGAGTACAGAGAAAGAAAGTGTGACAGTGTGAACACAGTGTTAACCCATGGAAGGGAGGTGCTGAATCCAAGAGATGTGAGCTGTTCTGTGACCAGAGGTGCTCTCTGCCTCAGGTCATGTGTCTTGGGAAGACCATACCTCAGGCCTTGCCACTTTGGCCTCTAATTGCAAGCTTAACCTAATTGCTGATTTGGCCTCTAAGCCGTTGTTCAGAAAAAGGGGTAACTCAGAATGCCATTCTGCACACAGAATTTAGAGAAACTTTCTGATTTATACATCAGTGTCACGTGAACTTAGTTTGTGTAGTTCAGCCTCCATGTCTGTCCGTTTAGCCGATGAGTTTTGAATATTTTAATGAAATAGTTTATCTCCCTTCAGGACAAAGAATCAAAGACAGATTTTTGCAGTTCTTACTCTTTGGGGCATCTCCATAGCCAGGCTCCCAGCCTTCTAGTAAACAGTCTCTGCCTCACTGTGATTGCAGTCAGCACTCAATGTTCTAGGTTGAGAATGTTCTACGTGATTATGTTAAGTAGTAGCACAGACCCTGACATCCTGGTGTTGCTCCAAACTACGCAGGTAGTATGTGAAGACAGCAGCGGGATCCCTCCCGAGGAGTTGGTAATAAGGTATCCCCAGAGCATCAAACTATTAAATCATCATGTGAGAAGAGCCTCAACGTTTATCAGGTACACTGTGGCTTTTAACTGCTATTAATTCATTTGAGGAAAGAAAATGTTAACAGAAAATGTCGGTTTACCAGGAGTACAGAGAAAGAAAGTGTGACAGTGTGAACACAGTGTTAACCCATGGAAGGGAGGTGCTGAATCCAAGAGATGTGAGCTGTTCTGTGACCAGAGGCGCTCTCTGCCTCAGGTCATATGTCTTGGGAAGACCATACCTCAGGCCTTGCCACTTTGGCCTCTAATTGCAAGCTTAACCTAATTGCTGATTTGGCCTCTAAGCCGTTGTTCAGAAAAAGGGGTAACTCAGAATGCCATTCTGCACACAGAATTTAGAGAAACTTTCTGATTTATACATCAGTGTCACGTGAACTTAGTTTGTGTAGTTCAGCCTCCATGTCTGTCCGTTTAGCCGATGAGTTTTGAATATTTTAATGAAATAGTTTATCTCCCTTCAGGACAAAGAATCAAAGACAGATTTTTGCAGTTCTTACTCTTTGGGGCATCTCCATAGCCAGGCTCCCAGCCTTCTAGTAAACAGTCTCTGCCTCACTGTGATTGCAGTCAGCACTCAATGTTCTAGGTTGAGAATGTTCTACGTGATTATGTTAAGTAGTAGCACAGACCCTGACATCCTGGTGACTGAAAAAGAAGTGCCTGAGCAGGGAGAAGAAAGAAACCATTTTATCACAGCAATTTGCAATAGCTCTAGGGGTCAAGATGATGGGTTTTTACCAGGTGAAGTGTCAGGTCCTAAAAGGGTATCGTACCCTGCTGTCTTCACTTTATCCTTTAACACACCATAGTGGTTACCTATACAGTGTAGAAAGTTACCCTAAAATACAGCAGCTTAGAACAATGAACTTGCGGTTTCTTCAGATCAGACCTAGGAGTGGCTCAGTGCCCCTCATGAGGTTTCCCTCAAGCCAGAAACTGCAGTCAAATGAAAGCTTAACTGGGGCTGGGGGCAGGGAAAGGGGCGTCCACCTCCAAGAAAGCCGTCTCACGTGGCGGGTGGCAGGAGCCTTCGGTTCCACACATGTGAGCCTCTCACACGGCTGCTGAGTTCTCAGGATGGGGCAGCTGGCTTCCTCAGCTTCCTCCAGATGCAAGCAAGCAAGCAAAGACCTAGTCTCCAACATTACACACCACCACTTGCGCTTCATTTTATCTGTTAGAAGCAGGTCACTGAGTCCATCTCACACTCAAGGGGGATGATTAGGCTCCGCCTTTTGAAGGAGCCAAGAATTGATGTTCTTGGAACATCCGAGAATCGATATTCATATTCTAAAACTGCCAGCATACACAAACACACATCATTTCCACCTGGGTTCCTCCTAGTGCACCGTCAGCATCTCTTAGGGGCCCCCACACTCTGGTTAAGCTTTAGGAAGGACTGCTGTATATTAATGGGCACACCTATGACATCATTCAAGATTTCTTTTTTGTTTTTGGCCACACGTCCTGCAGGATCCCAGTTTCCTGACCAGGGATTGAACTCAGGCCTGCTTCAGTGAAAGCATGGAGTCCCAACCACTGGACCAGCTGGGAATTCCCTATTCAAGATCTTCATCTCCTTACCCTGTGTAAACCCTGTCTTCTTAGACATTTAGATTACTTGTCCTAAGTTTAGCATGAATTTCATTAAGCCCCTGTTTAACCTGTCTGGGCTTCCCTGGTGGATCAGACAGTAAAGAAACTGCCCACAATGCAGAAAACCCAACTGATTCCTGGGTGGGGAACATCCCCTGAAGAAGGGCATGGCCACACACTCCAGTATTCTTGCCTAGAGAATTCCATGGACAGAGGGGCCTGGCAGGCACTCCCCATGGGGTCACAAAGAGTCAGACATGACTGAGTGACTAATACTAACTTAACTTGTCTAGGCTTAGTAGAAAATATTAATAAAAATCTTGAAGTACTCCAGTACTCTTGCCTGGAAAATCCCATGGATGGAGGAGCCTGGTGGGCTGCAGTCCATGGGGTCGCTAAGAGTCAGACACGACTGAGCGACTTCACTTTCACTTTTCACTTTCATGCATTGGAGAAGGAAATGGCAACCCACTCCAGTGTTCTTGCCTGGAGAATCCCAGGGACAGGGGAGCCTGGTGGGCTGCTGTCTATGGGGTCACACAGAGTCAGACACTTAGCAGCAAAGTCACTCAGCTAGTCAGTGGCATTTCAGCTCCAGAGTTCATAACCTTTACCCAACTCAGTGCTGCCATTAGGAAAGCTAGTTAAACCTTTTAAGATAGAGATTCTATAACTTGGTGAGCTTCCTGAATGCTAGTGGGAAAACAGCTGTGGATTTGTCTTGCTTGGTTTTTATCTCTCTTAAAAATTTTTAAACAGCCTGAGACAAAACAATAGGAACATTTTAAAAGAATTATTTGGTCTTCCCACTGAACTCAATAAGAATTACTCAAAGAGGGATTGAGGTTAAGACTACAAGTCATTCTGTCTAGAACTTTAAACTTCTTCTGCTTATTATTACTAATTAAGTGTGATTGTAAATTGTGGTGGTATTTTTGTTGTTTTTACTTCTAAAAGTAATATAATTTCATTTTAGACATTAAGAGGGTAGAGAGGAAATACTTCTAATTCCATGGCTTACCCTCAAGCACCACCTCTTTTATCATTTTGCTGTCTAATTCTTAGTGTTCAACTCCTAATGAAGGTAAATGAAGATAATTTAATCTTAAAGGTTTATAATCCCACTGTAGACCTGCTGTTTTATCACAAGAGGGCACCAGGAAACAGGATCATTTTTTTCCCCCCTTTTGGCTAGCAGATGGGTTCTCCTAGAGAATTTTATTATCCTTAGTAATCCAACCGATATTAAGGCTACTTTAGACTTAAGTGTTTTATTAAACGTAAACTAGGAACAGTTCCTCGCCTGCTTCCTTCAAAGGAAGATAGGTATATTTTATATTTTAGAGTATTTACCAGGGGTAGAACTAGTGCCACGGCACACATCCAGATGGGGGCTCAGGCACGGCACCCTCCCTCAGAGAAGCATTGCTGGTCCCACTAGGGACCTATTAATAGCAAAGGAAGGTTGGCCAGATCGTTATTAACATCCTTTCTGAAAGAGTGTCTGCGGTAACTTCATGTGAGTTTGAGGGCTAAGTCTCTGAATTTTCTTAAACCGACTCTGCTTTCCTATGGTTCAGACATTTGAACCAGTCTCTCTTCTCTGTGAAAAATGGTGAGGAAGGCCCACAAACTTTTTACAGCTAGTAAGTAGGCCAGTTCCTGATGGGCTAGTCACATTTCTCCCTGAGTTGTATGCTTTTCAAAGTCAATCACTTGTTCCCAAACTTGTTTATGCAAGTTGTACTCAGTAATCACATAATTTAATGCAGTATTACCAAAATCAATCAAATATGAGTGTGAAGAGAGTCGTAATCTCTCTGAAATTACGTTCAATGCTTGAGAAAGACCTGGTATCAGGAAAAAAAGGTGCTGTGGAATTAAGTGTGGACAGAACAAATGTGGAAGTTTGGGTGGGAGGAAAGGGTTGGCAAAATCTAGAATTCTGCCCTTGGTCTGCTCCACAAGTGTCTTGAGTCCTCACTGCGCTGAAACTAAAATTGACAAGGCTACTTGCTGTGCTAATGGATATCTTACGTGCCCCCCCAATCAGACCCCATTCAGAGAAGAGGCCTTAGCCTGATATCAAAGGAATGATGAATGAATGAACTTGTATATGTTTTAAGTTAAAAATAAAGTTATAAGGATATTTATTATAATTTTGTGATTCCCCATTTTAACTTGCTTTTCTCTTCAACTTACTTTTCTCTTTAACTGGCCATCGACAGATCCTGATGACACAGGGGAGGAAAGTTTCCATAGTTTGATATAACCGGCAGCTGCCAACTGCACACAGGTACAGGCAGATGAATTACCTAGACCTCAGTGCTTACTAGTGACGTAAGTACTTTTTTTAAATCAGTAGCCTCATTTTTATAAAGATTACCCAAAAGTCCTTATTTCTGGGTTAGACATGCTTAATTTTTAATACAGTAGATTTTATAACTTAACTACCTATAATGTGCCTAAGTCCATTATCTGAAGAGTTGGTTTCAGATCTTTCAACTTATCCTGTAACTGTGCCTAAAGTATGTTTCTTTTTTACTTAAGGCTGGCATAATTGTAGATTTAAGCAATATATTGCTTAAATGTTTACAGCCCAGAAGGAAAGAATGTGACTTTTTATTTACTCCTGTAGTCAGTGAAACTCTGCCCTCATGTTCAGTATATTTTTTAATTGGGAAAAGAATGACCCACACCTGATCCCACACACCAGCTTTTACGTTTTAACTTTATCATAATGTAATAAGAAAAATTAGAAAGCCCTTTACTTAATTATAGACAAATTATTAAAGTTAGTTTGTGCCGGATGACAGAAAATCAAATGCGTTTGAGTTTTGAATACTGAAATAAGGGGGAAAAGTCATACTGTAGTGTGACTGTTTTGCTTAAATTACCTTCCTCTTTCTGCAGTATACAAAGGCCCCTTCCCTATATTTCAAGCTTTATATAAAAGAAGAGCCATATTAGATCAGGGGTAAGCATCTGTCTCCTCTTCCTCCTTCTCAGCAGATTCTCAGATTTTGTTCAGCTGTCCACCTGATCCACAAGTAAGCCTCAGACAGTCCATGCCAACAGTTTTTGGCCTTTCCCTGGCCCACAAGTGCACAAGTNGCCATATTAGATCAGGGGCAAGCATCTATCTCCTCTTCCTCCTTCTCAGCAGATTCTCAGATTTTGTTCAGCTGTCCACCTGATCCACAAGTAAGCCTCAGACAGTCCATGCCAACAGTTTTTGGCCTTTCCCTGGCCCACAAGTGCACAAGTAGCTTAGATTTGCTCAACTCAAACTCAGGGAAGAACTTATAGTTGGGAAGGAGATTTTCCTTCTACCACAGGATGTGTTTAGGGGAGTATGCTGCATATTTGCTCCTGACAGCCCCCTTACCACAACGAGGGGAGGCAGCAGAATGGAAAGATAGGAAAAACATAGGCGCCTCAAGACATGGCTGAGCCTAACCTTAGGACCTACCTAACCTTGAACTTGTTAGGAGAGATAATATATTTTCTCACTGTCTTAGCTGGGGTTTCTATTACCTGCAGGAATTTTGTATCCTAACCGATACAAAATACAAAATTTTTCAAGAAAGCTTGTCTCAATTTTTTTTTTTTTGTGGTGAAGGTAAGTGTAGCATTTATTTGCGGGACACAAATCCAGGAGAATGGACAGCTCACACTCAAAAGACCTGAACTCCCTGATGCTTTGGAGCAAAGGTTTTTTTAAGGCAGCATTAGGAGTAAGGATCACAGGTTTGTGATCAACGCATAGACATTCTTCTGATTGGTTGGTGGTGGGATAACAGGATGATGTTTTGGGAATCTTAATCATCCGTCTTCTGGTTCGAACCCGTCTGGGGTCTGCATGCCCGTGGTCGGCATGCAGTCAGCATCCTCCCCCGAGTGGCATGGGCTCAGTCGAGCCTGACTCTCTGTGCCCCCACGGATGGCAGCCCGCCAGGCTCCACTGTCCATGGAATTCTCCAAGCAAGAGTCCTGGAGAGTGCTATTTCCTACTCCAGGGCATCTTCCCGACCAGGGATGGAACCCGTGTCTCTTGCGTCTCCTGCACTGGCAGGCGGGTTCTTTTACTGCTGCACCACCTGGGAGGCCGCCACCTGGGAGGCTCTTAGTTTATGTCTGAAGCAAGGTCCTGGGTCAACACCCACTGTGCCCCACAGACAGCAGGCAGGATGTGGCAGGCTCCCTGCCTCGGTTTTTTGGTGGCCTGCTTTGTGGGACCAGCACGAGTCTGGTCCATCTATTGAGCAACCCAGCCCTGTCAGCTACTGCCTGGTTGTAGGTTGAAGAGGGGCAAGAGTGGGTAAAGAGGCCAGAAAGAAACTTTGTTAGCAAGAGATGTTTGTATGTAGGCTTGGTATGTAACAATAAGGTATGGACAAGAGGAAAAAGTAAGGAGAGATTTATGAGATAAAAATGAAAGATTCAGGGACGGATGAACTAAAATAAATCTTGCTGAGGGGAGGCAGGCGGAGCAGAGACAAGATGCCAAGCGTGACCCAGGGGTTTCCACTTTGCATAAGTAGATGCACTGTGGTCCATTCTGAGCTCCACAGAGCATAGAAAAAGGACAAGGTTGATGTGAAAGAGCAAGAATTTATCATTGGACTCCTGAGTTTGAGCCGCTTTTGAGATCCCCAGTGAAGATTTTTCCAGAGCAGTTTGAGGCATAATTTATCCTACAAAAAGAAAACCCCATACTCATTAGCAGTGCTTCCTCTTTAAGTATGGCCACCACTAATCTATTTTCAGTCTCTATGGATTTGCCTGGTCTAGACATTTTACATAAATGAAATCATGTAATATGTGATCTTCAGTGACTGGCTTCTTTCATTTAGCATAATGTTTTCAAAGGTCATGTAAGTTATATGGTGTATTGATACTTCATTCTTTTTTATGGCTGAATAATATTCCAGCATATAGATAATACCTCCTTTTGTTTATCCATTTATCTGTTGATGGACATTTGGGTTGCTGCTACTTTTTTTTTTGCTATTATAAATAATGCTGGTACGAGTATGCACATGTTTTTTGTGTGACAAGTTTTAATTTCTCTTATTCATACCTGGGAGTGGAAGTAGAATTGTTGGGTCATGTGGTAACTATGTTTAGCTTTATTTTTTTTTTAGAGATCTTATAGGTTCTTTTTAAAAATTTTGCCTGAGATCAGCATGTACACACTGCTCTATATATTTATTGACATGTACACACTACTTTATTTGTTTATTTTTGGCTCTGCTGGGTCCTTGCCGCTGCACTTGGGTTTTCTCCAGTTGCAGAGCGTGGGCTCTAGACAGCTGGGCTTCAGTGGCTGCGGCACAGAGGCTCATTATTTGTGGCTTGAGGGCTTAGTTGCGCTGCAGCATGTAGAATCTTCCCAGACCAGGGATCGAACCTGCGTCCCCTACGTTGGCAGGAGGGTTCTTACCCACTGTGCCACCAGAGAAGTCCTGCGCTTTTTGAGGAACTGCCAAAATGTTTTCCACAGTGGTTGCACAACTTACATTCCTGCCACCAACAAACAAGGACTCCAGTTTTTCTACATCCTCCCTAACACTTGGTAATATTTGTCTGTTTTATTTTAACCATTCTAGTGGATATGAAGTAGTGGTGTCTTATGGTTTTGGTTTGTATTTCTTTGATGACTAATGATGTTCGGGGGCACAAATCATGGTTTGTATGCAAAAAGTATTTTAGTAATTGAAAAAAGTATTTTCAATGTTGCAAAGTGGTTTTTTTTTGGGGGGGGGGGTTGGTGTTTTTTTGGCTGTGCCCCATGTCATGTGGGATCTTAGTTTCCTGACCAGGGTTCAAACCCACAGCCCCTGCATTGGAAGCACGGTCTTAACCATTGGACCTCCTAGGAAGTCCCATTATAAAGTATTTTGATAAAATATATATCCAGTAGTTTAACAGATAATAATAACTTCATTGAACAGTACCATTTGATCCATCTGGTAATAAACTAAATTTACAAGGAAACAAGTCTTTTATCCTTTACAAAGAAGCTTATAATATAATTGGGAGGTATAATGAAAGCAACACATATGTAAGCCCATTTATTAAGGCTCAAATCAAAACACTAATTACCTAAGTATTTAATCTGTGGTCCATGGATTATATGCAAAATGTGGATTTTTTTCTAAAGAGAGGGTCTGTGACTTCTATGAGTTTCTTAAACAATTCTAACCATTAACACCCCCAAAGCTAAAAATGACTGCTCTAAAGTTTTTATCAGGGAAAAATGACTAATGTATTCTTAATGTCTGCTTCCGTTTATGTTTCTTTCTCACTGTTAGTTCCTGATTAAGTTATGCATTTTGCTTTGGTTACCATTTTTTTCTAGTCCAGACTTTTTGGGTCACAAAGTAAAAACATCGCTTCAAACTAGTTTAAGCAAAAAGGCTTTTATGGAAGGCTCTCGAGGTGGCTGATGGAATCCAAGGGCATCCAGCCTGCCTTGGGACCCACGGAAGACTGGCCCAGAAAGCTGGCAGCCAGCGCCCTTTGCTTGCATTCTCTAATTGTCTGCTTGGCTGGTCGCTGAGCGAAGCAGCCACCTCTGCGGCTGCGGGCCCCTGGCCGCGTGCCTGCCCTAGCTCCCTAGTTTCCAGTCCTCCATTCACTGCCCTGCAATGATGACTAAATAGCATCTCACAGCCCCAGTGCAAAACTCTCAGGATTGAGATTCTTAGTCCCACTGCTAGTCCCATCCGACTCTAGCCAGGAAGGCCGGATCCTGTGGACTAAGTGTGACTGCCCCTGGGTCTGAGCAGGGACAACTCTCAGGAAAGGGGAGCAGAGGCCAAGGGACATCTGGTCTGTGTCTAATACTCCAGTCGACTGGAAATCAATTTGCTTGTCTGTCTACCTGACTTTCAGGATCTTTTCATTTATCCGAGTCTCTAGAATCTGAAATGAAACACCCTCATTTCCTGTGGAGAAGATAATTAAGAGAGAAAACACTGATCTTACTTTTAGATCCAAATCTCCATTATGTTATATTTATTGGAAATCAAGCCTTGAGTGATTTATGCCAGGTGATCCTGGCCACCATCACCATCACTGCCACACCCACCCTCACACTCACGAGCTGAAAAGTCTTTCAGTCACTATTGTTGCTGTTCATCCGCTCAGCGTCTGACTCTTTTTCGACCTCATGGACTACAGCACACCAGACTTCCCTGTCCTTCACCATCTCCCAGAGCTTGCTCATGTCCAGCTCTTTGCAACCCCATGGACTGTAACCCACCAGGCTCCTCTGTCCATAGGATTTCCCAGAATGCCAGAGTGAGTTGCCATTTCTTTCTCCAGGGGATCTTACTGACCCAAGGATCAAACTCGCGTCTCCTGCATTGCAAGCAGATTCTTTACCACTGCTTCCTTGAATATTTAGCTTAAAAGTTGTCATGGTTGGCCTGTTTATTTTTATTAATCTGAAAGAGGTGGATCCCAACCTGTAGAACTACATATATATTTTATTTCACAAATTCTCTCCCATTTCCAAGAGTGCTATGAGTTTTGTGTGTATGTGTATTTTTTTTAACGAATTTAAATTAATACTGCTTTGAAAATTAACTTTGAAAAAAAAAGAAAATTAACTTTGACTATGTTCCAGTATCCGGTAGGTTAATAAAGGATGTGGAAGCCACCGTGGGGAATCGATTCAATCTGATACACCCAGGAGACCCACGTCCCGTTATCCATTCACAATAGTAGGTGGCTGCTGACACTCCCTTCAGCTTCTGATTCCAGCCAGAGTCTTGCAGTCATGGCCTTCACAGGAGGGTCATACCCAGATTAATGAAGAAGTCTGGAAACCATGAGCTTGTTACCTGAAAATTGGGTTTTTCTCTTGACAGGTGTCAGGCCAAAAGACAAAACCAAGCCAAAGATCAGTAGAAGGAGAGATTTATTACTGCTTGCTTGCAGCAGGTAGGAACACTAGGGATCTCTCCCAAAGCAGTGTCTCTCTGAAGAGCAAAACTGGGGAAGTCTTCAGCTACAGGTACGTACATACTCATGAAGGTCTTTGAGCAGAGGAAAATTCAGCATAGAATAGAAAATTCAGTATCGAATTGGGGCAAAGATCGACAGAGGCCAAGCTTTAGTTGATTGAAGTCAGGAGGGTTGAGTCAGCACTTTTTCTGTCTTCCACATGGAAAGGAGCCTTAGTTCCTGCAGAACTCAAAGGTATATCAACATTATTATGTATATCCCTTGAGAAAGAGCTAGGACTCTGCTTTCTCATTTCACTATTATTTGACTGCCTTTTCTCGGTTCCTGTATTCCTTTGTTCCCTTAGCATCATTAATTACTGAGCCACATTAAGGCAAACATTGTGGCTACTCTTAGAGCCCAAAATGACTTCTCTTATGTCGAGAAAGCCATTCCTGGTTCTCTTTCTCCAGAGATCCCCTAAACTATCTGTCTTAAGCTCAAGGGTCCTCTACCTGGGCTGTACATCAGCCCCCCATATGCTAGAACTCACAGTCTCTGATGATTAAAAGCTTTCCACGTGACACACTACCCCCAGGTTTGAAGATACTACATTTGATGGCATTTTCAGACAAAATGTGTGGCATAAATTGCAAAACAGGGTAGGTCCCCCCCCCCCCNATATATCAGTTTCATTATAAATATGTCCCATTTAGTACAATAGTTGGGAAAAAAGACACTGCCTCAACATGAGGAAGTCACTGGTACTATTTAATTATACTTTCTACTGATTTTTTTCCTATCCATATTTTTAAATAACTGAGGCCCCAGTGTGAATACACAAAGACTATTTGGTTTTATTTTATACTACTAGACACTACAAACAAGCATTTTTCCAGGCAAGGCAGGCAGTATGATTAGTATGATTATCAGAAAATGAATGAAAATCCTCCCTTCACTTTAAGGTCCATCCCCCCACCACCATCTACTCCTAGCTTCACCAGGTCAAAACAAGAACTCACCAAAGTGTACAATGTTAAAACACAAACGCCAACAGCAAGTCAGAACGTACTGGTTTTACCTCAGCCCCTCACCCCATAAGGGCCCTTCTGATAACAGAGCTACATTTAGGGATACTGAGCTGCCTTCCGCTTCAGAGTCTCAGGGCCACTTGCTTTGATGTGCAGTTTGCTTTAAGGTACCTGGAAGTTCCTGAGAGGATCTGTAAGTCAACAGCACGGATTTTTGAGCCATGACCTGACCTGATGTCCCTTCCCTGCCTCTCCCAAAGGCAGCATGCTTGGGGCAGACAACGGGACCCCAGCCCCAGAGGGAGCATCCATCCCTGCTTAACCACCACCTGAGTCACGGGAGGGAGCTGCCAGCCAGAGAAGGCTTCTGCCCTCGAGTGAAGGTGGTGGTCGATCCTCTTGGAGTCCTCATTAAGAGTCCTTGTCCCTTGGGCAACTGCCCTCTGGAAATCTAAATTCTCAATAACAACAAAAGACACCTAAATTCTCTTTGAATAGTTTCTATTTCAGTTAGGTTACTGTGCACAGTATTTTGCATAATTATGGAGGGCGACTCAGGGAGAAATGAAACAGCTTAGAGAAGTGATCAGATATATAACTGTACTTACAGGCACACACATATAGATTGTCCATAAAGTACAAGTGTAAAGATTATATATATGTGAAAACACATTATTTATATTATAAAGGAGAGTGAGCCAGACTTCTTTCTAGACCACAATCCACCCCACCTGTCGCTTATGATCCACAGGCAGATGTGGAAATGCCAGAGCCTCTCTGAAGCCCCACCAGACAATATAGATCTTCAGCTGCAGTGGGGTTACTTCCTGATACACACCCATCCTAAGTTGAAAATGCATTTAATACACCCAACCTACAGAACATCATGTCTTAGCCTCTCCTACATTAAACATGCTCAGAATACTTCAGCTTGTGTGCTTAGTTGGGCTTCCCCGGTGACTCAGTTGGTCAAAATCTGCCTGCGATGAGGGAGACCTGAGCTCAATCCCTGGATTGGGAAGATCCCCTGGAGGAGGGCATGGCAACCCACTCCAGTATTCTTGCCTGGATACTTCCCATGGACAGAGGAGCCTGGTGGGCTACAGTCCATGGGGCTTCAAAGAATCAGACATTAAACACGCTCAGAACACTTATATTTGCTTACGGTTGGGCAGAATCCTATAACAAAGCTTCTCATGTCATTCACTAACACTGTACTGAAAGAGGAAAACAGGGTGGTCGTGTGGGTCTAGACTGATTGTCAGTTACTAATTGTTCACCCATGTGATCACAGGGCTGACCAGGAGCAGAGGCTTGCTGCCCTCACCTAGCATCACCGGGGAGCGTGCCGCTAGTCCAGGAAAAGATGAAAATTCAGAATTCAAAGTACGGTTTCTGCTTGCTGAATATCACTTTCACACCATCCTAAAGTCGAAAGATAGTAAGTAGAACTAAGCTGAGGACCCTAGTGTACACTTAGTAACAGAAGAAGGGCCCTGCAGGACCCAGATCAAGGCTTTCCAACTTTGTTTGCATAAAAGAGCACTGTTTACAAAGTAGAAATGAGCAGAATAATTGAACAAGAAAGGCTGGTGTCTTTCAGGAAAGCCATAAATTCTTTAGAATTTGAGACAAACTAAAACCCTAACAATCGATCACTCTAAAAAAGTCATTCCAAAAATGTATTTCATTCATCAGGATGTTGCCTTTTTCCAAAAGAAACTTGAAGTGGGTTAAGATAAAGATGTGTACACGTTAAGATGAACAGAGCAGACGTGAACAAGACAAGCGGGAAATTGAGGAGAAGCAGACAACCTGACCTCAAGAACTAGCTAACCTCTGTGACTGACGATAAGACTGGGCTTCGAGAGCTGGTATCTAAGGCAGCTAACAGGAAACCTGAAACGTGGTAAGGGCTCATAAATGGCCAGTGTTATCATAATTCATAACCAGTATTACATTTCTGTTCTCAAATTCCCATTTTATTTTTTAATTTAGATTTTCCTTTTTTTCCTTTTGTCTGTGTTGTGCAGCTTGCAGGATCTCAGTTCCCCGACCAGGGATTGAACCTACACCATTGGCAGTGAAAGTGCAGAACCTAATCTCTGGATCGCCATGGAATTCCCTCAAATACCCATTTTGTTTCACCACATGAAATTGAAGCTACATTCATTTTTAAGACTTTAATTCCGGAACAAAATGTCATTGGGTTAGAATATTCTGATACAGCCCCACACCGAGCTCCCTCTTCTGAATCAGGATCATCTGAACCTTGCATTTTAGCAAATAAAAAGGAATGATTAAACTAGCAATGTGCTTTTCCCATACATTTAGCTCTTCCATCTCTGACTACAAAGTTTGGAGGCAATAAGGTCCCCAGTATTTTGGTTTGAAAAACATCTCTGTGTGATTCTTGTAGCCATGACAAGTAAGAAAAAAGGACTTCCCTGGTGATCCAGTGGCTAAGACTCCAAGCTCCCAAGGCAGAGGGCCCGTGTTCAGTGCAGTCAAGGAACTAGATCCCACACGCCACAGCTAGAGAGCCCCAAGCTGCAACGAAGATCCTGTGGGCTGCAGCTGAGACCAGAGCAGCCAAATAAATGCGTGCGCTCAGTCGTGTCCAACTCTTTGTGACCCCATGGACTGTAGTCCACCAGGCTTCTCTGTCCATGGGACTTTCCAGGCAAGAACACTGGAGCAGGTTGCCTTTTCCTACTCCAGGGGATCTTCCTGACCCAGGGATCGAACCTCATCTTTTAAGTCTCCTGCCTTGGCCGGCAGGTTCTTCACCATTAGCACCACCTTGGAAGCCCTTAAAAAAGGGGGGAAGAAAAGAGTAATTTCCATTTTTCCCATCACATATAATGGAAAGTTTCAACTGGGAGACTCTCAAAGAGTATTTCCAGTGCAGGTCAGAGAGAGAGAATTGAACCAAACGGGATTTTTCTGTTATCCTTCATCTGGATCTGAGACACTGGCCTCAAGGACCAGCTTGTATAGCCGATGGCCCCAGCGCAGTCCCTGCAGCTCCCAGAAATGTCTCTGTTGGGGTCTGGGGAGAGTGCCACACTTTGTACAGCAGACTGTCACTGGCACCAGGGGAAGACTAGCAGATTCCATCTGAGCATGAAGGCCAAGTCTCCCTTCATACGCCCTCCTTTAGCTCTTCCGTTTGCCTTCTGCCAGACCCATAGGTGAGTCCATCCTGAAATTCACCTGAGATGATACCAGAAAGTGGATTATAAAAGCCTGCCTCTTCCCAGGCGTCTAGCACAGTGCATGATGCATACGTGCTCAGTAAGTAAATGAGAACTGAACTGCATCCAAACAAAAATGACCCCAGTGATTCAAGTTCAGTCCAGAAGGGGAAAAAAAAAAAATCAAAAGAGGAGAAAGAGTTGTCAAAATAATATTGTCAAAATGAGATCCCCTAGATTTTCCCATATATGAGTTGTCGTCCTTCAGTCACACTGGTTGGATGTCCCTTCATCTCTGTATTCATTCGAGCCTCCTCACCTGATCAGAAACCATCATCGGCTATTATCATTTAGTAATTCTATCTTAATGAGATTAACAAGATAGGAGGTGAGAGGAAGAACAGCAGATGGAATATATTCTTAATTGATAAGATGAAGGGAATGTGGACATGAACTGTTTGCATCATTGATCAATTAGAAAATACCCGTTTCCTGAAAAAAAAAATGTGTGGGTTCAATGCTTCTTTGTTGTTGTTCTAGTCACTAAGTTGTGTCTGACTCCTTTGTGACCCCATGGACTGCCAGGCTCCTCTGTCCACAGGATTTCCCAGGCAAGAATACTGGAATAGGTTGCCATTTCCTTCCCTAGGGAATCTTCCCCATCCAGAGATCAAACCCATGTCTCCTGCATTGGCAGGAGGGTTCTTTACCACTGAGCCACCAGAGAAGCCCCAATGCTTCTTTACTTTTTCTAAAAAAAACCTGTATTTGCTTCCAATCCACCAAAATGAATGCAATTTTCCTGGATTTATCTCAGGCTAAAAACTACCCTGTCTCACTTCATTCATAGTTAAGAACCTATAAAAGCTACCTCCTGTCCACTGGAATTTTTATTTAACCAAAGAAATGAACATTAATACGAACATATACATTGTTTACATTGTGATTATGCAAAGCAGAAAATGTAAGAGAGTAATTTGACTTGTGGAGTCTTTTGGTTATTGTTAAATTCTCTAACCCTGCCCCACCACAGCCTCTCATTAAAATCTTCAGAAGTGAATTTCAAACTTCATACAAATGTATTTTAAATTTGTTTGCACATATAGAACATGCTTTCAGGGTCTTCCCTGGTGGTCCAGTGGTTAAGACTTCTTCCAATGCAGGGGGTGCAGGTTTGATCCCTGGTTGGGGAGGTAAGATCCCACACGCCTCGGGGCCAAAAAAAAAAAAAAAACATAAAACAGAAACAGTGTTGTAAAATTCCATAAAGACTTTTAAAAATGGTTCACATCAAAAAAGGAAATCTTTTTAAAAAAGAAACAAAACATGATTCCACTTGTGATGTGAACCTAGGTATACAAGCCTTTTATGGCATTATCAGGATTGTTGTTTAAGTAAAACTTCCAGCTGACATATGGTAGTTGTTAGAGGTGCTTAGCCGGGAAGGCAGCAGCAAGCGGCCAGGTTCAGAACACGCCACTCAGGTCCTCCGATGGCCACGGGAGAGCCTTTTTCCCTGATTGCTGAGCGTTGAGACCTCCACCAATCAGCCCAACACCCCATCTCTCAGCCAACAAGCAGCAGATTCTTAAGGAGCTTTTTTCTTGTTTTTCCCCTGGAATGTTTCCACCTCAAGATCAAAGCCATGCTTGGAAATATCACTGCATGGTATCTACACTGATTTTTTTTTTTTTCTTTCAGTGCAAAACAAAAAGAGTGGAATTGGCCCTGTGGTCCAGAAGCTCTTATCCAGAGACAAGTGAAGGGAAGATATAGACCCTCCTTGCTTTACATCTGATCCCAGAGGCTCGAGCCCCCAAAGGTCAAGATGGCGGCCTCCCTCAGAGCCNCTACCAGGCTCCTCTGTCCATGGGATTCTCCAGGCAAGAGTACTGGAGTGGGTTGCCATTTCCTTCTCTAGGGGATCTTCCTGACCTGGATTCTAAACCCTGGTGTCCCACATTTCAGACAGATTCTTTACTGTTTGAGCCACCAGAGAAACGTCCTTTGATTCACCTGACATGACCAGTTTATAAAAGCATTAACCTCTCCTCAGGTATCCAAGTGCATGGTAGGGACCTATTCCCCCAAACCAGCAAGCTTGCTGTCATGCCTTACTCCTTCCTACACTGTCAGCAGCCAACAGAGCTCAAGTCTACATCCTAAATATTTCAAGACTGTCCCTTTCTCTCCATCCCACCTCCTGAAGCAGGCTACATCACCTTCATCCTCTCAAAGCTTCCAGATTGCTTTTCATCACTCCCCTCTCTTCATGTCTCTCTAGTTATCTTTCCGAAAACACACAATCCACCGCTTCCGCACACATTCAATGACTTCCAGTTGCTTGTACTTTAGCAAAGCCCAGCCCCCGTGTGTGGTGCGCCGGGTCCTGGGCAGGTGACTATCCCAGCTGCGTTCTGGTCACTCCCCAATCCCCCCATCCCACCGGTCACACTGTCTCGGCCTGCCAAACACCCACTCACCGTTTAAAACTCAGTTCAGACACGAGAAGCCCCAGTCCCTTGGGCAGAGTCCCTGCAGCTCCCTGCGCTCCATGGGCCCGCGGACCTAACCCCCGGGACTCATGGCTGGGCTGTCCCCTCACCCACCACCAGCCCCACTCCCAGGGGCGGTGCTTTCAACGGGCCAGGTGCTCAAAAATGCCGTGCTTTTGATTCCACAAGAGTAAGAAAGCTGGAAAGCCATAGATCCGTTTCTTAACAGTCTTGTTATGTTTGTATTCTCTTCCATCCCCGCAGCAGATACTGTCTACATAAGAATCTAAGCTGATAGGTACTTATTGAAGTGATTTCTAGAAGCAAAGAAGAAGCTCTCAGTGTGGAAACCCTCACAGTGGAAGCCTGTTTGGGAGCTATCAGACACCCCGCCTGCCGCCACCTGGGGCGCAGTCAGTCTTTACCTGTACAACCCTGATCCTGGCAGAGGAGGGCAAGGAAAGGAGGGAGAAGAAAAACCAGAACCCCTAACAGTACAACAACCCCTCATACGTGTTTAGATGAGCAATTCAGTTAAGCCAATAGAGAAGTAATGGTCTTAATCACCTGCAAAGAGCAAATGACGTTACGTGGTGATCGGATATGAACTCAGGGTAGGAAGGCTGGTGGGGACTTTCTCCATCTCTGATCCGTCTCTTCCCCTCTCCTACTTCTGACTTCCCTGCTGTTTAAGGGGAGCCTTGCAGAGGCTGACTCATCAGAGGCTGGGGAGCTGCTGGGGAAAGGCTGGCAGGGGGGCAGGGAGGATGAAGGGTGGTGAGGAGGAGACAGAAATGTCACTTGGGTTGTGGGACAGCAGGGTGGTCTGGGACCTTCTGTCCACTGCTTTGTCCCCTGCGGTAATTCAGGCTCTGGTCACCTCTCTCCTGGACTGTTTCCTTTGATGACTAAGCACAGTGTCCCACCTCCACCCTCATTGCTCTGGTCCCCAGGCAGCCACCAGAGCAATGTCTCCAAGCGGCTAATCTAACCTTGTCTTTCCTCTGCTTCCCGGGGGCCCAGTGTATTATAGGATCCACCCGTCCACTTCAGCCAACAACTCTGGGCCCCCCAGTCCTAACCCCTGTCCCCTCTCACCTCCCATTCCAGTTGATGGGTCTCAACTTGTCATCCGTCACCTCTGTACTGGCTCTGCCCTTCTCTTTGCTTGGAATCTCCTTTCAAGATTTAGGTCAGGTTTCTCTTCTTCAGGAAGGTGTAGACCTTGTTGACCTGAAACAAATAGACTGCCAGTCATTTCTCCAACAAAGATGGATCAGCAGAGAATTGTGGAGGGGAGCAAAACTTCCCACCCTGGGGCTTCCGTGGTGGCTCAGGTGGTGAAGAATCCACCTGCAATACAGGGGACCTGGGTTCAATCCCTGGCTTGGGAAGATCCCCTGGAGAAGGGAACGGCTGCCCACTCCAGTATCCTTGTCTGGAGAATTCCATGGACAGAGGAGCCTGGCGGACTACAGTCCGTGGTGTCTCAAAGAATCGGACACGATTGAGCGACTATCACAGTCAACATGCCTGTCTGTCTTGGGGATTATTTCAAACTGGAAACAATCAAGGCCCAAAAAACTCAGGAACATTGACCTTCCCACTAACTGCCTCAAAGAAATTCCTAGAGATGTCTGTTCCTGGAATAGAGCTGCCTCAGAGACTTCAGCAGAAAGTATGAACCAGGGTGGGAGGGAAAACCCCTAGAGATCAGGGTCCAGTCTGGGTCCCATTGTCTCCGTAGGCACAGCAGAAGGACGTTTATTTACCAAACATTTGCATTTTCATCTCCATGTGAATTGCCCTCCTCCCCTTTGAAGTCCGAAACCACAACGCCCAATATCCTCTTTTGCCTTTGGCTGTTCTAGGTGAGGGCTTGGCCCCATTTTCTTGACTTGCTGAGTTTTCCTGGGTCTCTCCCATGAATAT